CATGAACAGTCTCATTCAGACCTTCCTGGCGATGTCAATGGCTCACAGTGGGAAGCGACTCAGGTCTTGGGAGAGCAGTCTCATTCAGACCTTCCTGGTGATGTCAATGGCTTACAGTGGGAAGCGATTCAAGCCATTCATGATGACCTTCTGGGTGAGGTCAATGATTCACAAATGGAAGCACCTCAAATGGTGGACCCACTCATCATTGACAGTGACAGTGAGATGGAGACTGGTGGGCGTGATGGTGAAGCACGTCTCCAGGCACATGACTCCATGAAGGTCCTCATGATTGGTGGAACGGCCATCTTTCGAGCTGTGGCTGACCAATCGCCAGCAAAACCACGGGCTCTTGACTTCTGCCAGGTTGCGAGTGAGAAGAGTCTTCAGCCCTTGACGCCTTTGGAACTGACCTCTGCGGGTCAGGGTCATGAGGGCGAAGGGAAACCGGCTTCCATGGATCCAAGCCAACCTGTACATCATGGCTGGCTGGATGCAGATCAGCTTCGTGAACTGTATGGAAAGGATGCCGTGGACAGGTTTTGTCATGAACGAGCAGTGCAGGGTGCACCGCGGGAACATCCTGACATGCCAGGGTGTGAGCTCATGCAGGTACAGTGTGTGTCTTGTATGAATTAAAACGAAGTTTTAGTTGATCCATATTGGTGTTTGCTATTGCTTGTGTGTAAATGTATCAGTTTAACATGAGTGCATGCGAGGACCTTGCTGGGGCTAAATCTTCCTTATTGGATGCTTCTGCTTATGAACATCTTGCAGGTGCAGAGCCGCCAGTCTATGCATCACAACTCAAACCAAGAGGTCGCAAACCCAAAGCGAAGGTCGCTGAGAGTGTGAGCAGGGAGATTCCTTCTGCAAATGGTGATGGTCTGCAGAGCGCATCATCCAAGAAGAGAAAGACTGGCAAAGGCAAGAAGACAAAAACAAGAAAGGCAGCCAAGGGCAAGAAAGGTAAGGTGGGCAACAAGAAGTGCAAAAAGAACAAGAAAGCCAAGAAGGGCAAAAAGTGCTCCAAATCAGGAATGTCTGGCATGGAACCCGTTGATTTGGAGGCAACCGGCAAGAAGGCTGCTGCAGATGCTTCGGAGCCGACAGAGATGAAGTCAAAGCGCAAGCCCCGCAGAAGGGCTGCTTCCAAGGGCAAACCGTGTGAAAGTTCTTTGCACCCTGAGTATGTGGAGAGCGTTGAACCTGAGGTTGTCGAGACTGCTGCCAAGTCGCGCAAGGGGAGGAAGACTGCTGAGCAGAAGGGTGTGAAGATCAACAAAAGAAAACAAAAGGCAAACACGATCGATGAGGTTGCAGTTCCTCCCATTGCAGAACCACCACTGGGCGATGCACCCTTGCCTGTCGGCTTTGCTCGACCCCCCAATTGGGTGAATGCTGGCAATGTGTACTCGAATATGTACCGGCGGGCTCAAAGTGGTGGGCATGCCAAA